TGGACGATGCGCATCGTCACTCGAGGTGCTGTGTTGTGGACCGCCTTGATGATCACCGCAGGATGTTGGACGGTGCGCGGGAACGCCATGCAACGATTCCCGTCGAGAAGCGATGGGGCCGGCTTTGCCGCCGTCACCGCTGTCTTTGGGACCGTTCTGCTGTAGCGAGGATAGCCTGCAGCGGGGATTGCACAAGATGCCTACGGGTCTCCAGACGGTCTTCATAGGCTTCGTGAGGGTGCAATTCCAGCTTGATCCCGGAGTTTCTGACTCAAGCTGTAGCTTTATTGGCCCTACATTCGCGTGACGCTCTCGCAACCCCAAGATTTTAGGGTTTCGGGTTTTGTTTAAGGCTTCGGACTGGTTTGAGGTATACCTAAAGTCTAGAGTTAGAACTTCAGTGGACAAGGGTTTGGGGCTTAACGGGCATTTCGGCGGCGGAAGCCTGCGATGCTGTGAGCGGTTGCATAGGTCCTGGAGAGCTCGCATCCTGCCGATGTCAGAACATTACGCGAGCTCAAGGCTGCTGGCGCCACGGTCGTGGCCAATCCAGCTGGTACTGCCTTGGACGTCTTCTTTGCGACCGGGTCTGCAGCTGCCACATCGGCCTTTGGGGCCAACCAACATCGCCGTTGGTGCTCGTCGTTCGGCGGTTGCCAGAGTAGGTTCTCCTTGCCGCCAACGTAGAACTCGGGGCAACAATCCAAGACCATGTTTTGAATATCTGCAGGGGCGCTGGAGCCAGAACGTCACAACCCACCCCGCACCGTGCAACAACTGGATTTGTGGACATGTTTTACTGACAGTCTATTAGAAGCTCGGTTTTGGATGATTCCTCCAAAATGATTCTGTTGAGCCGAAATGGGGACGGGATGGTCGTGTCATGTCGCATCATGTGTTATTACAGGGAAACCATGTGTTGCACATCCTGACTGAGCGCTCAAGAGACGATGCAAGGCAAGCTGCAAATGTCTGTTTGCCTAGTGCAAGGTGGAAGTGATGACGTTCCTGTTCAGCAACTGAATCCTCGTGTGCCACATGTGGCTTGCAATAGCTAGTCTTTTTATTCGCATGCAGTTCCAGCGGGCTCATAAGCACCGCTTTTGGGGGGAATGTCAAAGGCAAGCAGTAG